TTAAGGATCATTTTGCCTTGGACTCTGATTTAATTCTACATGATACTTGGAACGCTGACACATATTACTAATTTAACAACAGTCTAGCATAGCCACAGAAATTTTGGGGTCCACTCTGGCTCTAAGCCAAGGACCATCTGTACCAAGAGGCTCCCGTCGAATCTGAGCCACCAGAATTTCGCTCCAAGACTGACCCGAAAAACCCAAGATGAACCTTAAGCCAACATTAAGCCAACATTAAGCCAAGGAAATGATTGGGGACATGCAACCTGCCCAGGAAAACAGGTTCCTCCATTTCTTCCTTTTCTTTCGGTCTGCCTGAACTGATTGGGTCAAAATAGGACGGCCAACCTAATTCTGCTTCCTTTGGGTGGGGGAGGCGGGGGGGGGGGGGAGGAAGGAACCAGGATCGGACCAAGCAATACCTGCACTTTGGAGAATGAATATTCGGGTTGGGGGAACCCGTCGCCCTGGCACTGCAGCTTCACGTCGTCTCCTTCCTTGATGACTTTTGGCGAATCCAAGGCAAACTGCACATTTTCGGTATAATCTACAGGGGTGGAGGGTGGGGGGTGAAAGTCGGAAATAGGATTACTCGGGAGCCGCAGTGAAAATTCAAGCATTCTAGGAACTGTAACACAAGAAGGTTATTATTGGAGAGTGAATGCGTGTGTGTGGATGCAGGCAGGAACTTAGTTAGCAACGGATTTGTTTAGCGACCGCTTGCCCTGACGTCAGTAACGAAAAAGTAACTTTGCAACGAACCCACCAAGGGATGGATGATGTGTAGATCTGCAGATCCGTAAAGAAATATGGCTCAATCTCAGCAATTTTAAAGAGGGGTGGACTCCAACTCCCAGAATTCCCCAGCCAGCATTCAAAGGAGAGGGAAAGGAAGATCAAAAGGACGGTCGCCAATTCATTTAACGGCTGCTTCACTTAATGCCCAGGTAAGCAGTCTTAATTTGGGTGGCTAAACTAGGTCTCACTTTCTCTCTGTCTTTCTCATTCTCTTTTTTTCTCTCTCTCCTTCTCTCTCTTGCTCTCTCTGTGTCTTTCTCTTTCTCTCTTTTCTCTCTCTCTCTCTTTTTTCCTCTCTCTCTCTTTTTCTGTTTCTCTCTTTCTCTCTCTCTTTCTCTTTCGCTCTCTCTCTTTCTCTTTTTCTCTCTCTTTCTCTGTGTCTTTCCCTTTCTCTCTTTCTCTCTCTCTTTCTCTTTTTTCTCTCTTTCTCTTTCTCTCTCTTTCTCTATGTCTTTCTCTTTCTGTCTTTCTCTCTCTTTTTCTCTCTTTCTCTCTCTCTCTCATTCTCTCTCTCTCTTTCAGCTGCAAGGCAGCTGAATCAACGGCGGCAAAATAACACACCGAGTTCATCAACCAGACCTCAGGAAACACAAATCCTGGCTGACGCATCTACTTTTATCAAACATCTTTACCCGTTTCTACTTTCATCCCCACGAAAACAAACATTTGAAAAGCCCACAAAGAATCTCATCCTTTGAAAGAAAACAGCATAAAAGATAACAAGATAGCAGTAAAAGTAAAAACCAAAAGTCAGATATTTTATGATTCTGCTTTCGCCAACTTGGGCATTCGCTCGGGAAGGGGGTTTGCATTTCAACTGGCGGAATTGCTAGCAAGCAGATTCATGGGTAAAAATTCAAAAAAAAAATTATTACCGGTTCTGTGGGCGTGGCTTGGTGGGCGTGGCAGAGCTTGGCAGGTGTGGCTTGGCAGGTACAGCTTTGGTGGGCATGACAGGGGAAGGATTCTGCAAAATCCCCATTCCCTCCCCACTCCAGGGGAAGGATACTGTAAAATATCCATCCCCTCCCCACTCCAGGGGAAGGATACTGTAAAATATCCATCTCCTCTCCACTCCTTGGGAAGGATACTGCAAAATCTCCATTCCCTCCCCACTCCAGGGGAAGGATACTGCAAAATCTCCATCTCCTCTCCACTCCTTGGGAAGGATACTGCAAAATCTC